GTGGGGCCACCCGCGGCCGGCCGAGAGCGACCCATTAACGCCGGAGATGCCCCTTCTCCCACGGCCCCGCAAGGAGCCAGGCCTGCCAGATCCCGCCCAGAGAAGGGCCCTGCTCCCGGCCAGAGGGGAGCCGACCACGCTGGGAAAGGCGCGGCCCCGGCACAGAGCCATGCGGTCCCCGCTAGGACGGGAGCAGAGCCCAGCAAGAAAGACTCTGCCCGTAGAGAGAAGGGAGCGGGCCCTAAAGCGAAAGCCGCTGCCCCCGGAGAGCTCTGCTGCGCGGGGGCAGAGAGCGGCAGCGCTGGCCAGGCAAGCGGCGTGGGAGCCCGGAGGCTCAGGGATGTGCTGAAGACGCTGAGGCTGGGCCGACAGGATACGTCGGAGGCGGCAGAGCGTGTGAACTCGCTCATTCGCACACTGGTGTCAGACATCAGAGCCCGGGAGAGCAGCTTCAGCTCCATTGATGTCCTGGGCACGGGGAGCTACTATGAGCATGTGAAGGTGAGGAGAAGGGGCGGGGCTTCGCTTCAGCACTTCGTTGGACTCAGGGGTGACTCGCTTTTGTGGGGGTGACTTTGTGGGTCGCGGCAGAGCGTGTGAACTCGCTCATTCGCACACTGGTGTCAGACATCAGAGCCCGGGAGAGCAGCTTCAGCTCCATTGATGTCCTGGGCACGGGGAGCTACTATGAGCATGTGAAGGTGAGGAGAAGGGGCGGGGCTTCGCTTCAGCACTTCGTTGGACTCAGGGGTGACTCGCTTTTGTGGGGGTGACTTTGTGGGTCTAGCGGGTGCTTGGGTACCTGAAGACTCTTTTTTCAGAAAACTTACTGTGCGTCTGTCATAAGAATGTCTAATCTCGATATTGTAGAGCGTTTGTGGCCTGTCTGTGTGTCTGTCTGACCATCTGTGAGTCCCTTTGTTCAAGAACTCAGTCTAAGGTACCTCGGTCAGGGCTTGGTTGTGCCACACAATGGGATTTGCATGGAATGCATCAAATGGAAAGGGAGGGGTGTGATAGCAGGGACACCACGAGTGACCACAAGAGGGCAGCAAGCACCCCAGTCCTGGGGAACAGCTGCTGGGGGAAGAAGCCAGCTGGAGGCCTGCGCAGCCTGCCTCTGCCCTGGACTGGCCCCAGGTTGCGGAAGGCTGGGTCTTATAGCTCCTGTATCAAGAAAGATTAAATGAGCTCTAATATTAATATGTTCTGACAACTTCTGTCAGTTCATTTAAGGGATGCTGGTCAGAATTAACATTTTAAGATGTAGTCTTACTTTGTTACTAATTCTTTAATACAATTGAAACAATTGTAGAAAAATCTAGATTATATTCTGTCACTTTTTTTTCAATTCATCAAGGTCGGAATAAATAATTTACCATTGCAAGGGCTCATGAGTTAATACTACACCTGCATGTGGCTCAAGGGGTGCTACCTCACTATAAGTAATAAGACTAGGTAGAAATTGACTTTACATAAGAGCGAAACTGACACTGTCAAGTCACTTTCATAGTACTGTATTGCCAATCCCAATGTTGAAAAATCAAGAATCAGGCTCATCATATTAAAAAAATGTAGTTGAGATATGCTCCATAAGTCGATGTGGACTGGAGGCAGGCTTGATTTGCGATTGGTGACCTAAAACACAAAGGCAGGAGATAGCTGTTGTTTGCATTAGGGATGTGAAAGGTTAACTTTCTCCAGTGATGCTTACCAGTTCCAGTTAATCAGTGGGGGCTGGAGCAGCTCCCCACTCGCTGCTCCCTCACACCTGCTGTGAAGACTGATGAAAAGAGCTCATTTAACTTCTCCCTAATAGCTTTGTCTTTTTTCAGTGCTCCTTTAGCACTTTGATCATCCAGTGGTTCTACTGATTGTTTGGCAGCAGTGGTCCCTCTAAGCAGCAGCACACTAAACATTTTAGGTCTGCCCATGTCATTTTAAGAGCCATGCAGCAGCACTCATCACTCGCCTTCCTGCTGGAATGGAAGGTGAGTGGTGGCGGCGGCAGCGGCTGGTGGTTCCTGGCAGTGGGAGGCTGCCCTTTTGCTCCTCCTGGAGCCGGGGCATATGAGGTGAGGCTATTCCAGTGAGGCTGCCCCAGCTAGAATAGGCTTCATGCAGTTGCTGCTTTACTCCAGCTGGAGCTGGGGGCCACCTGTGGGGACCAGGACCGTGATACTAAAATTAGCACCGTGGGCAGCCTCTGCTCCAGTCCCAGCACACATTCCCACCCTAGGAGCAGCTGGGGCTGTGGAGGCTTGTGGGGCCAGGACCCCAATACTAAAAATAGCCCCACAGCCTTGGCGCCAGCCCCCGCAACTGCTTTCCACATTTAAGGCAGAAAGCTAGCAAAGGGGCAGGGGGAGAACTGAAGGGAAGATGGGGTGAAAGAGGAAGGGGCGTGTGCTGAGGGGAGAGGAGGTGGCCTAGGCAGAAGAAAGGATTCCAGTTAATCAGGCACCACGGAGCAGAGTGGAGAAGAGACAAATGCCAGGGGGCCAAGAGGAGACAATGAGGAAAAGGGTAGGAGGGAGGAGGGGAGGGAAGGTGTCAGTGGGGGTGGCGGAAAGGAGGGGACAGGGTGATGCTGGGGGAGGAGAGGGGAAGGACAATGGGGGCAAGAGGGAGGAAGAGGGTGCCAGGAGAAGAGGGGTTTAAAGGAGGGGTGGGCATGAGGAAGGCAGGGGATGGAGCAACTCCTGTGTGAGGACACAGAGGGGAGTGAGGAGAATGAGGGCAGAGAGTGGTGAGGGGGTGGGCACTAAGGAGAAAGAGGGCAAGGAAGGCAGGGGCAATGAGGGAAGTGGGGAGGCACCAGGAAGGTGAAGAGGTAAGGGAAGGTGCAGGTGTCAGGGGTGTTCTGGGGGTAAAGCAGAAGGGAAGACACATGGAGGGGAGGGACAGGCATCAGAGAAAAAGAGGAGAGAGGCAGGGCAGGTGGGTAGAGGGAGGTGTTATGAAGGGGGGGAGGTAGCTACAGATGATCAGAGTGGTACTAAAGGAGGAGTGGGCACAGGGGGAAGAGAAATGAGGGAAGTGGGGAGGCACCAGGAAGGTGAAGAGGTAAGGGAAGGTGCAGGTGTCAGGGGTGTTCTGGGGGTAAAGCAGAAGGGAAGACACATGGAGGGGAGGGACAGGCATCAGAGAAAAAGAGGAGAGAGGCAGGGCAGGTGGGTAGAGGGAGGTGTTATGAAGGGGGGGAGGTAGCTACAGATGATCAGAGTGGTACTAAAGGAGGAGTGGGCACAGGGGGAAGAGAATGGTGGGTACAGGGGTAGAGGAGGATGGGGAGTCCCAAAGGACTGAGGGGATTGAGAAGGGCAAGAACCAGAACAGCAGAGGAGAGTAAGAGATGGGGGACAGCAGGCACCAGGGGAGCAGATGGGATGAGGGGACGGTGGGAGACATGGCAGCAGATGGGATGAGGGAAAGGTTCATATTTATTAATAATCTGGATGGCACGGTGGCACACATCTGAACAAGTGGACATGAACTCAATACTGGTACACAAGACAAAAAGCACTCCGCTCACGGGTAGAAAATCTTAGAGGGAGAGCAGATGCATTATTTGGATGTGGCAGAGTTTTCCTGGGAAAACTCTGCAGTCTAGACGTACCCACAGTCTGAGCTAACACTAGTTATCTCTTATTCTGTCCAGCACAAACCACATAAAGCGTGGGCATGCATCCAAATGGTTTAGTGTATCTAAATAAAAAGCATGTTCCCACAACTTCCTGGTTATGTCTACACTGCAGGCTTCTTGCACAAGCGTTATTCCTCCCCCCATGAGGAATAAGCCTTCTTGCACAAGAGCTCCTTGCATAAGAAGACAGTGTGGACAGGCAACAGGGGTTTCTTGCGCAAGAAACCCCTGTTGCCTGTCCACACTGTCTTCTTATGCAAGGAGCTCTTGTGCAAGAAGGCTTATTCCTCATGGGGGGAGGAATAACGCTTGTGCAAGAAGCCCTCTTTTCTGACACTTTACTGTAAATTTACTTGCGCACGACGCACCTGCAGTGTAGACATAGCCCCAGTGTATGGAGTCTCACTTGCCTTGGGGGGAGTGCAGTTACAGAAGACCATGAGATGAACAGATTACATGGAAGTCAGAAATG